GAGATATTACTTAATAGTATATCAATTATAATTTAGTAGTAAATTAGTAATAATATAATAGTCAAAGCATAATAACTTAATAATAAATCAATTATAACATAATTGTAAATGCATAATAATGTAATTGTAAATTAATGATAACTTTATAAAAAAATGATAACTTAATAGTTAATCATTGAGAATTTAGTAATAAATCAATAAAAGCTTAGTAGTAAATTAGTGATAGCATAATAGTAAATTTATTTTACTTTAATAGTAATTAAATTATAAATTTAGTAGTAAATTATAAATAGCTTAGTGATAAATCAATTATAATTTAATAGCTAATCACTAAAACTCAATAGTAAATCATGATAATAAAGTAGCAAATGCATAACAGTATAGTAATAAATCATTAATAATTTAGTAGTAAATTATCGATAACTTAATAGTAAACAATAATAATGTAATGGTAAAATTTTGATAACTTAGTTGTAAATCAGTGGTAAGTTTGTTATAAATAAATGATAATTTAGTTGTAAATTAGCTAATTATTAATAACTTTATAGTAAATCATCAATAACTTTACAGTAAATAAGTAATAACATTATAATAAATTATTAATAACTTAATAGTAAATTATCAATAACTTAGTAATAAATCGTTTATAACTTAATAGTAAATCATCTATAACTTAGTGAGAAATCATAATAATTTAGTAGTAAATCAGTGATAAAATAGTAGTAAGTGAGTAGTAATTTATTTGTTAATTAGTGATAATATTTTTTTTATACTCAAAGTTACTAATGATTGAACCTTAATTACTAGAAAGAGAAAAGGATTATGATAAACCTACCATGAACTTATTCATTAAAAAAAATTAGTAAAAATATTTTAAATTTGAACGAAACAATAATGTTATATTATATAAAAAGAAAATTATCTCATATATTGTAATTAATTGATAAAATTAATAGTATATCATAAACAACTTAGTAGTAATTCAATAATAATTTAGTAGTAAATAATTGATAACTTAATAGCTAACTACTGAAAACTTAGTAATAAATCAATGGTAATTAGTAAATGCATAATAGTATAATAGTAAATCACTGAATTTAGCAGTAAATCACTAATAACGTAGTAATAAGTTACTCATAACTTACTTGTATATCCATGATAATTTTGTAGTAAATCATCGATAATTTCATAGTAAAATTAGTTATAACTATATAATAAATTATCAATAACTTAGTACTAAATCATCAATAACTTAGTAGTAAATTATTCATAACTTAATAGTAAATTATTAGTAACTTAATAATAAATTACTGATAACATAGTAATAAATTAGTAATAACTTAATTATCAATCGATGATAAATATTTTTATATTTGAAGTTTTTAGGGATTGAACTCCTATTACTAGCAAGAGTGAAGTAAAAACTTAGTAATAAATCAGTTATAATAATAAATTAGAGTTAACTTAGTTGTAATTTATTAATAATTAAATGCTAAATCACTTATAATTTAGTTGTAAATTAGTGATAACAATAAATCAATGATAACTTATTAGTAAATCAATTTTAGCTTAGTAGTAAAGTCTAGATAACTTAATAGTAAATTATTCATATTTTAATAATAAATTAGTGATATAACTTAGCAGTAAATCATCGATAACATATAATAATAAATCATTACTAACTTAGTAGTTTTTTTTTGTTAAATATTGATATAGAGCTATATTTTTTAATATGTCTAACATATTTAATTCTTTTAAAAAATTATACTAATTGCCATTTAATACTAAGGTATTGAGTTACAATATTTGTGAATATTGTACACATATATAAATAATTAAAACAATATTCATGTACCAATTACGATAACAACATATTTTTATTAAAAAAAATCAAATTTGAAGTGAAAATTTTAAATAACTTTATCTATATTTTTTTGTCATTGATTGTCTATTTGATAATATATTAATAGTAACTAGATTAATGCTATATCTTTACTAAAATAAATTGTTCTGTTTTATGGTATCATTTATAACATTGATAGCAATTATACAAAAAATTATTATCTTTAAAGATATTTTTAAAATGAAAGAGAAAAATAATGAGTCTAAATTTATTGAAAAACACCATAGAAAAATTACCTATTAGTTATTTTCTCAGTACATAATATTTTAAATTAAAATATATGATCTAATAATACTAATAATAGTATGAATTCTATAAATTATAATTTTAAAACAATATTGTTTAAATGATGAATTTTTTGTATGACTTATACTTGATATATAATTAAGTGTTCATCGAATAATGAAATTACTCCATTTTAATTATAAAAGAGTTCAAATACTATAAATATATTCACTATCAATTTTAAAGTCTAAGATTTAAAACATAGTTTACCTTTAAAATATATCTTTTGATATTTGTCTAAAATAGATCATATCTTATTAATTTTAAAATTATGATATTTCATTATTTAACAAACAATAATAATATTGAACCAAAGTTAATTGAAAAAGGTATTTGAATATTTAAAGAACAACATAAAATACTATTTGATTTGGATAAGGTATACCTTTAAGTAAAGTTTGTCATTTAAACTCTTAGTATAACGTATTTTAGTAAGTTTTGTATATTTAACTGCTTTTTAAGAAATCAGTATTCGATACTAAAAGTAGTTTTAGTCAATATCTCTTATAAATGCATAAATAAACATCATTGATTATTACATCAAGATACTAATAGTTTTTTATTACTTCATATCATTTTTTTGGAATTTGTTTACAAATTGATATTTTTAATTAATAAAATTCATGTAAGTATGCATTTTTTCCGATAAAATGAAATTATAAAATAATTTCATTTTACATAAATAAGTACATGTTAAAAACAGAAGTTAGTAATGAAAAAAAAAACGTCATATATTTACTTTATTCAAGTAACAAAAACTTTATAACAATTTGGTTTCAAAATCAAAATAACGAATTTACGTAAAGAAAAGAAAACCAGCTTTTAAACTTACCCAAGAACCATTTATTTTAGTTACAGCCTTCCCTTTTTTTTTTTTTTTTGGATGGAACCGAAACCTCAATCATGGTTATGAACTTTTTTTTTATGTTTTATTTTAAAAAAAATAAAAACTTAGAAAGGAGAACGTTCCTATATGTACAGGATATAATAACCATTTATGTCTTGTACTTCACGTGAAGAAACACATAGAAAATAAGAAATGACATTATGCATGTGAAATGCTTGAGATGGGATCAAAGAAATCACCTTTTTGGTTTCTGAAGTTTATTTTCCTTCTTTTTCGTTTTACAGCTTTTCCTTGTTCTCTCTCTCTTTTTTTTTTGTGTTGTATGTTTCGCCTTTTATAATTTTCCTTCCCTTTTTTGTCGCCGTAAACATTTTCCTCCCCCTCCTCTTTTCTTTTTTACCCTTTTTTTTCTTTCCTTTCCAGCCCCCCTTTCTTTTTCTCCTCCTTCTCATTTTAAAACTGGCCACCCTTTTGCGTTCTTTTCCTCCTCTTTCCCATCCTTCTGTAAAGAAGAAAACCCTTCAAAATATCTTTGAAAGATTGAACATAAACCTTTGGATCAAATCTTATCAAAAGGTCAAAGTTTCTTATTCTTTTTTCAAGAAGTAATCTTTAGCCATTGGATTAAGATTCAATATGAAATCTACTAGTCCATATTATTCACTGCAAATGTAAGATTTTTATAGTCCCTAAATCATATAAAACAATCATTTTATTTTAGTACAAAGTTTCGATATTTAGGATTTTTTTTTATAAATCAATGTTATCATGCTCTTTTTTAGGATTTTAAAACACTACAAATCATGAAATATTAAAAAATTGAGATCTAAAAATTTTCGTAAAAATCCAAGCTCAAAAATGCTAAATTACGAAAATACCTTAAATGGCATTTTCGTATTTTTACACATCTCAGGATATTGCTTATGATTTCGAATGTACAAAAAACTATCAAATATTATAAAATTAAGATTTAAAAAATTTTATGAAAATTGATATTGGGAATATCAAATTATGAAAAAACCCCTAAAAGGCATTTTGATAATTTTATACTTCCCCAAATGCAATAAAAAATTTTTAGTGCTTTAAAAAGAATCACCAATTTTAACTTTAAATCATATTAATTCTAATTAGGTTGTAAATTTTAAGGATTAAACCTGTTTCTATCGATTTTGACCAAATTGTGTAATTTTAACTTTATTTGACTAATTTTAACTCTATTGACCAAATTTGATCGAAGTTGACTAAAAAATTGACTTTGGAGTTTACTTGCTTAATTTATTCTTTATTTCTCATGTATCTACGTGAAAATATATCATTCATATAAATTCAATGCGAAAGAGTTTGACAGTAACTATACGGGTCTTCTTTTCTTTTATTTATTACAAGATTAAATATCGACATATTTTATAGGCTCTTAAAGGGATTTTTTTACAAACTTCAAATGAGTTTTGTTTGGATCTTTAAATGGACTAAGTTGTGGACTTTTTATGGCTTGCGAATGAGCTTAAGTCAATCATGTTAAAAATGTTTCGAAAAAAATACGGTGTCTATAAACTCCAAATTAAGACCTCGATATAAATGGCCTGTGGAATTACATACTAAAAGCTTTAGCAACAGTGGGTGTTCAAAATTTGAAAGAGAATATGAAAAGAGTCCAAAAAAAAAACAAGATGGACGGACTATTATATAAAGGACGGATATAGAGTGGATGAGAAAAAAAATAAACAGTATATTTATTGCCAAAAATGAAAGCTTCATGAAACATTAATAGCTTAGAAACTAAGGGGCAGAAAGGAACTTGTAACTTGTTTTAACTTGAGCAATAACCACATCGAATCCTTGAATTAATGCCCCTTTATTTCATTGATTCAGATATAGCAGCAGAAATGAAACAGTCGGCATTTTACATTTTAGTTAATTTTATGGCAGTAGCAGGCTTGTAGTTAGGGGTAACTATGGTATCCTTCATAAGAAAAAGAAGTGAAAAATGGCATAAGCAATGAGCAAACCGGGAATGAAGGTGAGGCCAAGGGAACATGTGGCGATAGCAAACCCCATGGAAGATTGTAACACTGAGTAACTGCCTGTGCTGAAAGCAATCACCATTGCTATCATCGCAGAAAAAGTTAAGATTTCTGCGAGACCAATCACCTGAAATCGGAGATTAACTAGACTCCAATTCAGGCATACCAAGAGAAAATGAAGCAGGACCGCTAAAAGAGAGGAAACAAATGCGAGGGTATTTGTTATAATGAAGGCTTTAAAAGCTGGGTCACGACTTAAGGTTGCATCCCCTTGCTCATCACTCTTGTATCCACCAGGTACGGTGAATGCTGCGGTGAATGTTACGGTGGCTACAAGCGTTGCCACCAGCAAATGGGTCTCTCGTGTTTTTTCCACGTATTCGATGAAGGAGACATCATCCTCGTCCTTTACCTTTTCTCTGAAATTTGGGTGAACGCGTAACCCTTCCACTTCTGCATTATCACCAATGTCATTCAACAATTGGCGAATATCTTGCTGCAACGATAATCGTCGATTTAAGGAATGATTAGCATTTATCAGTCTATGAGTAAAATTCACGGTACTTCACAATTTT